GTGTCAACACAAGGAATAAAAATCAGCTTCATAGACCAATTGCCAACCTCTCATGTTTTCAGAAGAGTGCATATTATGCAGGGATCAAAATTTTCAACAGTCTACCATCAAATCTCACAAGTCTTGTAAATAAAAAGGCACAATTTAAACTAGCATTAAAAAGATACTTAATTACACACTCCTTTTACTCTGTCGATGAATTTCTAATGTTTACAAGTAATTCATAATTTATCTATTGTATATAATGGGTGGGTTTATTTGTAACTTATCTCTACTTTATGTGAACACTTTGTATTTGTGACATTTATATAATAGTATGACTTGTATTTGTATAACATGTATTGTATTATGACTTATTCTACATCCTATTGTCATCTGACTAACTTATGGATCCATGGAATGTAATAAAGATGTATGTATGTGACATGGCATGAAAAATGCCTTTTGAATTTTAGTGTACTCTAAAGAGTACAGTTTCCAGTGTTATTTGTTATGTGCCAGGTTGAATAGGCAGTCTATTTTTGTATCTTTTTTCTCTTTTCTTTATGTTAAATGGTTTGATAATTGCATAAATATTTATGTTTTCAAACAGTAACATTTGTGTTATTTTATTTAAATAACTGAAAATGTAGCACATGTCACATATGTAACAAAAATAAACTGGAATTTGTTCATGAATGAACTTTCAGCAGTTGGAGAAATAGAAGGTGTTTTCTTAAACATTAAGGTACAGCTGTTAGAGCATTAACACATGATTTACAAGTCTGGGCTGTACTATCATGTTTCAGACATAAGAAGTATTTGTTCAAGTTACGGAAGCTCACTTCTGCAGAAAAGACCAGTTGTCCCTCGCCATTCACTAGAAGATATGCTACATAATGCACCATTGGATGGAATTGATCTTGTCTATAAATTACTTGTCTTCAATCCATATAAACGACTCACAGCTGCACAAGCACTTCAACACATTTACGTGCAAAGGTATATACTAAGAGGTGAATCTCTTCCATTAGCTTTCTCTTTAGTCAAAACACAATAGGATGCAGCACCATGTTTGGTGAGTGGTGTTACAGATATAGATTCAAAATTATTTTGTAATTATTATTATTTATTTTTACTTTTTAGATTTCATTGTGAAGCAAGTGAACCAGTTTTGAGCCATGTGGTAATGCCACCTCTTCGAGATGATGTTCAGCTATCAGTTGATGAGTATCGCAATAAGCTGTATGAACTGATGTCTGTGGGAACAAAAGCTCATATTAAACACATTAGGGTTAACCATGGTAACAGGTACTGAAAAATTTGGCATTTGGTTATAGTAGATTCTTTAATTATTGCTGTAAGCATGGACTGATGGTGATTAAGTAGGTTACAAGTAACAGAATTGGTGAGTGTGGAAGGAACAGCTATTTACAATATAGATTCTAATTATTTAATCAGTGACTTCACTTGTGCCAGAGTATAGAAGGCTTATTTTAATAAATAAGGAACAGTACCAAACAAATAAAGTGAGGGCTGCTTTTTGAAGTCACTCCGGGGCCTCCTACGACTAGTCTGGATTATAAAAATTTAATGTATGCATCTTCTGCTGGAAAGAATTAATGCAATCAGAAAGTTATCTTTGTCATAGTTATAGTAATCCATCACCATAAAAAACAAAATTATTTTTAAACTTTGAACCATGTTAAATACTTGCATTTTTTAAGGACTGTGTAAAATGATTTTATTGTATAAATGATGATTGGAAATTATAATTCCCACATAGTTCAGATGAGGAATGTGTCTTTGCACCTTTACAATTACATCCATCAATCCTTGCCTTTGTGATATTTTTTCTTTTTCAGTGTTCTGAAGTGTCATGTTTATTGATGGTTGAGAAAGGACATACACTGATAGAAAAAATGCCCGATAAAACCTTGCTGGAAAGAAGTTTAAAAGTGGTGATTGTTACTATTATAAATTGGTACATTTTATGTATTGAAATAAGAAATATATTTTTGTTTTCATTTTATCAGGGCACAGAAGTTTTCTGAGCAGGGGCAGATTCGACATATCTATCAGCCTAGCACTTGGATACATGGAGTACATGATAATCATTCAAAGAAAGGAAGACATGTGTCTGCTGAGTTGTTAACTGTTCATTCTGTGCCAGCTCATTGTACAGTATCTGTGCCAATAAGCCATCTTGTGCCTGCTCAGTCGGATGTGAATCTGCATGGTAAGGAAAACAGTGGTAATACAATAATCTGCAATAACCAAACATTTGGAAATGAGGTCGGTGGGGCTTTTCTTGACTAAGTGACTGCTAATTTCTCAGGACTTTCTCCATGGAGTTAGTTTGCAGTTTTGTAATTTCTTACATGATTCTCTGACATGATCATCTTTGTCTGTATATTAAATCAGATTGGTATTTTTGAAGAATGTAAGGTAGTAATAAAAGGTTTTAAATGTAAAAGGAAGCTTATTTTATAAAATAATTTAATATAACATTTTTATATTCTTGAAGTAAGAGTAAAGAATGTTCATATATGTAGTATTTAATGAGATGTTTTAAACATTTTTTTGTAAAGCATTCAGTTATAATGGCAGCCCTGATGGCCAGTCTGGGCTGAAAGTATGATACTGGGAGTTGACTTATGTAAGAATTGAACTCTTAGAGATTAAATAAGTTTTCAGGTTAAAATTAGATGTAAATATGTGGCTTCAGATAATTAAAAAGAAAGCATGGAAGAGAGTGAAAGGAATATTAAATGAGCTTGAGGTAATGTCAGAATTTGAGATGAAGAAAGACAGTATTTAACACGATATTTGTAAAAGCTATATGTAGGTTCTCACATTAAGTAATAACCTTCATGGCAGAACCTGAAGATATGACACAGCTAATACCAACACCCACCATTGGACATGGTCATTTGATATTAATCTTCCCTCATCCATCGCTCTGAGTCCTAAGTTGCAGCAGAATAACTATTTCATTGATACTGCTTACTAGCTAGTAACCAATTGGTGAAACTTCCTGTCTACAAGGTATTATTTAGAAGGATCCAAAGTCCATTAGAAGTAAAATAATTTGTTTGACATCTTTCATGGTCAATTCTACTTCCATTCACTTCAGAAATCTCCCCATTTGATTTTTCTATACATTTATTTTGTCACAGGCCATGTCGCTGTGCCAGTTACACAGGGTAAGAAATCAAAACTGTTAACTCGTGGACTGCATCACCAGCCGGTTTTTCTTCCATATGCTGCTGATATGGTTCAACAAGCAACTGGTGATTCTTCTAGCCAGCAGCATGTTGAGCAATCGAAACTTGTGAGTTAGCATTGGTATCTTTTTTTTAAAATACTTTCCCTTAGGAAAGTTAGGTTTGTGGGTTTCCCCATACCTTGTATGTGTGTATGCCT